CGGTTCCCTGTTAGCGGTTCCCTGTTAGCGGTTCTGGTTCCCTGTTGGCGGTTCCCTGTTAACGGCTCTCTGTTAGCGGTTCCCTGTTAGCGGTTCCCTGTTAGCAGTTCCAGTTCCCTGTTGGCGGTTCCCTGTTAGTGGTTCTGGTTCCCTGTTAGCAGCTCCCTGTTAGCGGCTCCCTGTTAGCGGTTCCCTGTTAGTTGTTCTGGTTCCCTGTCAGCGCCCCCTGTTAGCGGCTCCCTGTTAGCGGCTCCCTGTTAGCATCTCCCTGTTAGCGCCCCCCTGTGGTTCTGGTTCCCTGTTAGCGGTTCCCTGTTATAGGCTCTGGTTCCCTGTTAGCGCCCCCTGTTAGCGTCTCTCTGTTAGCGTGGGTACCTTCTCCGGCGTCCTTGGTGACGATGGTGAAAATGGCGGGCTGATCCAGAGCGCCGTGGCTCAGGCCGGGGCCGAACGCCGTCACGTGGCCGCTGTTAATGGCGTCCACGTAAAACTGGAGAGGACTTCCTGTAAAGAGACCCCAGATCTGTAGAGATCCATCACAATCCAGCAGAACCTATATAGAGAGTCTAACTGGTTCCAGGAAGGAAGAAGTGTTGGTCCACTGATCTTCATGTTTGACTAATTGTGAACATAGTCAAAATCGCTGAAATGAGACATTTCCTGTTCAAATACGAGGTGAAACGTGAGGTGAATCCATCTCAGTGCCTGATTCATGCACTGGGCGCCTGTCGGCATATCGCCAATATAATGTTTACATATACAGTAGAACCTCTAAAACAGTCTAACTGGTTCCAGGACTGACTTCTGTGTTAAATATTGGTTTGTTGGTTCAAATCTTCCATCAGAATACTCTGTCATTCCTAGAATTGGTTCCAAAATAATTAATGGAAATTAGCCAGTTTTCACTGTCTTTGGGAGTTTGGGAACCTTTGAATTATTCATTTTTTTAAATAATTATAATAATTAGAAAATAATCATTTGAAATATGAATTAGAACAGAAAGAATCCTGTTACATGTCCACGTAAAATAAATAAAATATGTAAAATCAAATAAAAAAAACAGCCCCCCAGGAGATAAACCAGCATCTAAAGGGCTCAAACCCCCAAAAGTCTGGAGAGTTGGACCAGAAAACAGATAAAAAATACAGATAAATCCAGCAGAACCTCTATAACAGAGTGTAACTGGTTCCAGGAGGACTTCTGTGTTAAATATTGTTGTGTTGGTTCAAATCCTCCATCAGAATACTCTGTAATTCCTAGAATTGGTTCCAAAAACCTACGATAACTCCTTAATAAATACTGCAGATAATCACACATAGCAAGAAAACAAGTGACTTCTAGAAGAGAGATGGAGAAATGAATGAATTATAAAGAAATAATTAGTCAAAATAAACAAAAAAAAGCAGGAAAAGCTGAGATTTCTGAGCTCTTTGAACACAACAATGATTTTCCTTCATCTAAAGACCTAAAAAGCTGATTTTTTAAAAGTGATTTTCCGTTTTTTTTGAGCGAGGAGCCGCTTAATAAAGCAGCATTTAAAGTAGAACCTCTATAACAGAGTCTAACTGGTTCCAGGACTGACTTCTGTGTTAAATATTGGTGTGTTGGTTCAAATATTCCATCAGAATACTCTGTAATTCCTAGAATTGGTTCCAAAAACCTACGATAACTCCTTAATAAATACTGCAGATAATCACACACAGCAAGAAAACAATTTTTTTTGGTTCTTTATTCACATTTGGAAGAGTTTGAAGTCATTTATGTCTGTAGGATTGTCTCATTCCTGGCTCATCCCTTGAGTTAGGGCCTTTTTCTGACTTAACGAAGATTAAAACGGGACAAATATGAATGTAGAAAGTAGAAAATGTCCAACAAAAAACCTGAAAGAGCTCAGAAATCAGTCCCTAAAGAACACTTTGAAGCCTTTTTTTGGTTCTTTATTCACATTTGAAGCCATTTATGTCTGTAGGAATGTTTAATTCCTGGCTCATCCCTTGAGTTAGGGGCCTTTCTACGGCCTGGATTACTCAGAATTAAGTGGCTGAACAGAGAATAAATGTTACATTTAGCTCTCATTGTCTGAAACAGAGGGAGCCGATTGGTTTTTAAAGCCTTTTTTTGGTTCTTTATTCATGTTTGGAAGAGTTTGAAGTCATTTATGTCTGTAGGAATGCCTCATTCCTGGCTCAGCCCTTGAGTTAGGGGCCTTTTAACTCATTGGCTGCCAAAGACGTCTATAGAGTCTTTTATGTTTTTAACGAGAGTGTCTGGGGGACGATCTGCTAAAGCTTGTCCGTAAATATGGGCTTCTAGACAGAGTGACGGTGACACGGAAGTCCAGGAAGAACGGAATAAGGTAGAAACACATTTTTTTTCCTGATGAAAGAAGAGAGTCTCCTCTTTCTTTTGGTGTGTTTGGTGTTTACATAGTCATAGCACAAACTATTCTGTGGCTCTAGAAAAATCAGTCAAAATGCTCAAAAAACTAAGCTAACCCACCTGGGATATGGCTGCCGTCGTACTTGATGTCCATCTCGTGGAGGCCTCTCTCTGTGGGCGAATATTGCACCGTCACCGTCCCATCTTTGTTGTCGGCGATGTGGGGGCGGGCCGTTTGGCCCGAGGGCATCCGGACCTCCCCTGGAGGGGAAAAGACCAGGGGGGGGGGTTATAAACTAAT